TGAGGGTAAAGTCAGAGGGCAGAGGGAGAACAGTGAGCAAGAAGCCAGAGCAGACCAAGGAGATGGTGAAGACAGCGCAGAAGCAGCCGAAGGAGGAGCAGCGGAGGCCAGCAGGGAGCGGGAGAGCGGGGATGGAGAGGCGGAGGGAGAGCAGAGGGCTGGAGGAGGCCATCGAGAGGGGGGCTTCCTCCTCCCAGGGCTGCATGCAGTGTCCCTAGAGGTTGACGATGCCAAAGAGGGCAGTGCCCAGGCCTCTGAGACCCAACAGGCAGCCCCACAGCCACCCCGGCCAGAGGAGATGGAGCCTGAGGGGCAGCCCAGTCTAGAGGGCTGCCATCTGTGCCCCTGTCCCCTTAGCTCAGCTGGCAGCGTGGGCATGCGCCTGGCCTCCACCCTGGTTCAGGTCCAACAGGTCCGCTCTGTGCCGGTGGTGCCCCCTAAGCCACAGTTTGCCAAGATGCCCAGTGTAATGTGTAGCAAGATCCATGTGGCACCTGCAAACCCATGCCCAAGGCCTGGCCGGCTGGATGGGACTCCTGGGGAAAGGGCCCGGGGGTCCCGGGCCTCCCGCTCCTCTTGGAGGAATGGAGGCAGTCTTTCCTTTGATGCTGCCGTGGCCCTGGCCAGGGACCGCCAGAGAACCGAGGCGCTGGGGGTGTGGCGGACCCAGACCTGTCCCGGGAGCGAGGACTACAGCCTCATCCCCAGAACCTCTCCCTGTAGCATGATCCCTGCCCATTCCCCGCGGCCCCTCAGCTGCCTAGAGCTCCCACCAGAAGGCACAGAAGGGTCTGAACCCCGGAGTCGGTTTAGTCTGCCCCCCCGAGAGCCCCAGCCTCCTCAGCCCCTTTCGCCCCCACAGCGCCGATCCTATGCATTTGAAACACAGGCTGACCCTGGACGAGTGAGGGACTATGATTAGCACCAGAGCACTGGGCAAAGGGGCCAGTAAGTTGTCTTCAATCTCTGGGGACCTGACTAGCTGTCTCCTCAGCCTGAGCAGCGGTGGTACCCCGCTCTTTAGGCTTTGGCCCCCCGACTCCTCTGGGACTGTGGGGGGCAGTCTGGTGGGTTTGCCTGCACTTGTCTCCGACACAAAGCACCTCTCCCTTAGGAGCTTCCCAGGAAAGTCACCAAGAGCCTGTTCCTAGGGAGTGAGGCCATTGCCGGAGGGTGGGCAGGCACCCCAGCGGCTTCCCAAGGGCAGAGTGAAGGCGGGGAGGGCAGGCCTGGCGCGCACTCTGGGCTGTCTGGTCCCGGGGCCGTTCTCCACCCGGTGGCCCGCCTGGCCCACCTGCCCAGGTCAGGAGAACCAGCCCGGAAGCACCTGGACCTCAGGGTCGGTGGGCGGGTCCAGCTCCGGCTCCGCCAGCCCCTGCACCGCCGGCCTCCGCGCTGAAGGAAGAGCGGCCTCCTGCCGATCGCTGGGCCTTTTCCTTTGAAACAACTTCCTCCTCTTTCAGGGAAGGGAACGGCGTCACTCAGACCCTGGCCCGCGTCTCCATTCTCACAAGGGCCCGTGTTTTAGAATAAAAGCTGTGTTTTCACATGCGGAGTGTGCAGTTTCATGATTCTTACTGAAGTCTTGGGTGACAGGTCACATAATTTCATGTCGGGCCAATCCTTGCCTTTGGGCTGCTCGGGCTCGGTCGTTGCCATGGAGACCTGCGGCAGGAAACGAGCTGGGCTCGGGCGTCAGGAAACGGGAAGAGAAACTGACATTGGCGTCACTGCCCGCAGGGACGGGTGTCCTCCGTCCTTTATGCTGCTCCTTCCCCTGCCAGTTAGCTCTGTGCGGCTGGGCTCCGCATTCACAGCCGAGGAAACCAAGGCTAACGAGGCCCCCGACTGCCGGGGTCTCAGAGGCAGGTCTGCGACCCGAGTCTGGACTGCTCCCCTCGTCCCGACATCGCGCTCCGCGAGTCCACGCAGGCAGTGCTGACTGCCGAGGGGGATCGGGGTCCCTCTCGTGGTGGAAGCCTCGGGTCCCGAGCGAGCGCCAGGGACACTAATACTAAGGTGCGCAGCCGGCGGAAGTGCGCCTGAGGGAGGCGCCCCCCGGAAACGCTCCAGGGAGGGGTCCTGACGCCCTTATCAAAGATGGCGCCGCCGATCGACGTTCCCCCCCCCCCCCCCGTCCCTCCCTGGAACTAAAATAGGAAGGCCCCCCTCCATGAGGAAAAAGGCCGAACGAGTTAGTCTTATTCCTTCCCGTACTTGCTGAAGCGCCATGGCTTTCAGCGGCGGGCTTCTGGGATCCCGGGGGAATCGCACCTTTCAACCCCTCATTAAGGGGGGGGGGGCGGAAGTGAGACGCTTAGAGGCGGGGCGGGTGGGGAGGGGCGGGGCCACTTCCGCCCCGCACCAGCATGGCTGCCGGCCGGGCGCGCATGCGCGATTGTCCATGGGAGCCCCCAAGACAGAGGATCCCTGTCCGGGAGAATACGGCGCTGAAGACGGTTAATTGCCGAACGGCCCGTAGCCGAGTCCAGGTCCGTGCCGGCAGAAAGGGCAGCTGAGACTGCTACATCCGTCTCTAGGGCCGAGATAGCCCCGGACACAAAGCCTATTGTATGGTGAGAGCCCGACCTATGTATCATTTACTGCCGACCGGATCGTCCCGTCTTCACCTGC